ATAATTTATAGTGGCCACACAATCTGTAATAATTAATCACATCTCTGATGTTCTTTATAAAAAAGAATTCCTTTTGTCTATTTTACTACTACTTTTTAGAAAACCTTTCTTTAAGATAAAATTCACAGAGAGTCAGCAGGTGACCTGATAGGTGGGATACTGGATCACATATGGCCAACTCTGTGGTTCAAGTTCTGGACCTGGCAGGCTTGAAAAATACAATGGGCACATGCATGTGCGTGCCCAAAATCCCGAGAGAAGAATAGAGGAGAAGGGATAGTGGCATGGCCTTCCCCCTGGGGGGGGGGGGATTTCTCACTTTTCCTTTCTCTGTCTCTGTCTCACTATGTCTCTCTCATGTGCCCTCACCCTATGGCAATAAATCTACATTCCATACAATTAATTCAATCATTTACTGGGTACAATTCAACTATTTACTTGGTACAATTCAATGGTTGATAGTATATGTGCGGAGTTCAGCAGCTGATAAAGAATTTTAACCTACCACTTGTAATCTCCATTGGCAGTGAGCTCTCGAGTAAATTACTAATCTATGGGCCTCAGTTTTTCACATTTTGAGTAAAGGGATAAAACTAGAAGTGGATTGCTTTTTGCAATAAAAGGTAGCAGTTAAACAAATTCACAGCACATGCAGTGATATGCAGAGAGGTGGGAGACTGGAAGAAGAGGATTACAGTATGACCAGACTCTGTGGAGGGTGCTTCTCTCTCTCCCTTCTCTCTCTCATGTGCACATATACACACTATAATGAATAAAGAAAAAAACGCAAAGCAAAAAAATCTCAATGCAGTAATACTTTATCCGTACTCCATTAGGATGGCTATAATTATAAAAAGGCAGATGATAAATATGGGTGAGGTAGTGGAGAATTTGGAAGCCTCATATAATGTTGAATAAAATTAAAATGTGAAGTGGTGCATTCATCCCAAAACAGCCTGATGCCTCTTCAAAAGTTTAAACATAGAGTTACCACAAGACTCAGGAGAGAAATAAAAATATATGTACACACAAAATGATGTACACAAATGTTCACGGAGGCATTATTCATAATAGCTAAGAAGTCAAAATAATCCAAATGTCCATTAACTGATGAATGAATAAATAAAGTATGGTAAATCCAAATGATGGAATACTATTTGACAATAAAAAGGAACACAGTATTGATACATGTTACAGTACGAATGACCCTTGAAAATATGCTAAGTGAAAGAAGTCAGACACAAAAGGCCATATGTTGTCTGATTGCATTTATAAAATGTTAATACAGGCAAATCCATAGAGAGGAAAAAGTAGGTTAGTTATTGCTTAAGGCTGGAAGAAAATGAAGTAATTGCTAATGGTTTCAGGGTTTTGGGTTTTTTTGTCTTTTTGTCAAAGGGAGGTGATGAAAATGTGCTAAAATCAATCAACATTGTGACTATAAACTAAAAAACACTGCATTGTTAATTTTAAATAAATGGTGTGGAATATGGATTACATCCCAATAAAACTGTTATTTAAAACAGAAGGGAGGGAGAAAGGACAAGAAAAACCCACCTCGCTAAGCTGTTCCCAAATTCCTAACAGAAACTACATGAAACCAAAAATGCTATTGGTTTAAATCACTAAATTTTAGGGCAACCGGTTGGATAGCAACAGCCAATGGATAGATCAGGAATAAATAAGAATTAACTATAGTTATAGGATTAGTATATAGACACAATTAGCCAACGTTACCAAGCAATTTGGAAGAACTAGCGAACACCACCTTGCAGTAGGTGAGCAAAAGCCGCCCAGCCTTGGAATCTCTGCATTAAACCATCAGGAGGTTTTCCAGCCACTTCAAGTCTCGCTTTACACATGTATTTGGATTAGGCTGTAACTCCCCAGCAAGGAAATCTGCTGCTTTTATTAACTCCCTCTCACTCATGGCTTCAGAATTTTATTCATCAAAGCAATTTATACTTTTAATCACTGATTTACTGAATTTTTTTACCCTCTGAAATGAAGATTTAGAAAAAGGTCTTACTTATGCTACAACTGCCTGTAGATGTCACTGCTGAACAAGGGCAGCGAAGACACTCCTTAGTGGCATCAGGACTCTGATAAAATCCTTCCTTGCATTCTTCACAGTGATCCCCTCTGCTATTTTCCTGGCAGTTTAGACATGTACCTGAAAGAAGCAAATGATTGTAAAAAGTTAAAGAGTTACTCAGCACAGAAACTTTAAAAAATCATGCCTGAAACAAACAACAAAGTAGAGTTAAAATAATTACAACAATAGGGATTGGATAGAGTTCAGTTTCTAACACGTCTTATTTCCATAGTAGCCATGTGTATGAGTTCTACGTTCCTTGCCAGACTTTAAAATTCAGGAAAACACTGTGTACATTATTAAAGAGCCCTTGTGGGTTAATAGACTACATACCAAACGCACGTTACTTATGTAGGAAGAAAAATTTTTTAAAAAATCTGAATATCTACGAGGGGACTTAAAACAACAGAAATTTATACATAGTTTTTTTTCATACTATGCATTTTCCATGAAAGACAGAGACAGACAGGAAGCGAGAAATCACCTCCAGGGAGAATGGTCACGCCGCAATCCCTTCTCCTCCATTCTCCTCTCGGGATCTTGGGCACGCACGCACACGCGCCCGGCGTGAGTTTTAAGCCACCGGGTCCAGGACTCGAACTGCGGTTGACTACATGGGAGTCCAGCAACATAGCCATTATGCTAACTGCTGGTCCCTTAAATCTTAATTCTCAAGTGATGACAGCAGACATCGCCAAAACTTCCCAAATGTATTGGGAAAGATAGCTTCATAAGTTCATTATCTAACACTTTGAATTAAACCAAACTTACATGTAAAATCATCACTTTAAACAATATAATTTTATTGGTGGGGAGGAGAAAGGAGAAGAGAGGGAGAAAGAGGAGGCGGATAGAGAGAGAAAGAGAGAGTGCATGAGTGTGGCAGGCATTTCTGACAGGGTCTCACTGTTAGGGTCCTGACCCCAGCCTCCCAGTTAGCAAGGATTACAGGTGCGCACTGCTGGGCACAGACTGCTCAGGTGGGCCCAGGACCCAAACCTGCACCTCCCGTACAGCCCTAACCTCATGCAGTCGCACCTTCTCACTTATGCCACCACGGCTGGGCCTAAATTACATATTTTTTAAGGTCTGATAGTGTTAATGATATTTTTCACATACATAACCAAGTAGTACATATTCATACAATGATAAACACCATAGGTACTGCTTTTTTTCTGGACCTTCTTGTATCTTGATCTCTCTTTAACAGTTCTGTAACAGAATTTGGACGTCTGGGTAAGATGCACTCCAATAATAAGATCTTTGTGTATGACGGAGAACAGGAAAAGGTCCTGCTGCTATCCTTATTAGAAAATGTAATATATACATATTCTTAGTACTTTCCTCTCACAATGCACTGGGTCTATATGCTTATTATTTTGGAGTTTTCTACTATTCCAGATAAGGCACCAAACCTTTTTGATTATCACAATATAATTTCAGTCTCTTAAGA